GGGCTCCCCAGCCTGGCACCACCCGCCCCACGGCTGAGCCCTCGCCAGCTGACAGCAGTGCCTGGCTGACCGAGGATGATGAGGAGTCATGGGTCTGACCCCTGCCCTGGTGGGGACAGACCCCGCAGGTCAAAGGTGGGACTGGTGCTGAAGCTGGAGCTGTGGTGCTCGAGGTTGGCACAGGCAGCACGATGGAATTGCTCCCAGGCAACCCAGAGGTCCCATCTTGCTCTTCGCACCCCACTCCTTCACCGTGGATTTTTTTTTGTATTGGTAATTATCCTTCTAAACAGGTGCTCTTGTACTGGTTTGGGTGGAAAAATCTAGCGCCAAATTGAGGGAATGGGATGCTTTCTGCAGGAAGAGGGGTGTAGTCCCACTAAAGCAGGGATATCCTTCATCTGGATATCCAAGGGTGAAAACCATCGTGAACCTCAGTCCTCCCCATCTGTACGATGGGAGTAACAAGTCCCATGTCTTACAACTCCAAAAGCCTTAATGAATGTTTGAGTCGCTCAGGTTGAGGACACTTTCTGACCTCCACAGGCTTCCTGGGAGCACCATGGGGGGGGTCACAGTCATCTCTGGGGTGATGGTTGTCACTGAGGGTCACAGCAGGCACAGCCACACCCCAAACCTGCAGCCACAGCAATGCTATTTGTGCAATAGAGATGTACCAAAGCTCTTCTGTTTCTGCATCTTTTCTGTGTGGGGAGGGAGGGAGAGAGGATAACCCTGTTGGGGGGAGTCCTGCCTGCCAGTCTGCTACATGAGTCCACAGTAAACATCCCTTCAAGAGCTCCATCTTCCACGAGAGGATGAAGCCAGCCCCACACCCCTACAGACAAGTAGCAAGGACAAGCACCAAAGCTCTGAGGATGCAAAACCTGCTTGCAAAAATACTCCTGAGACATGTACGGAACAAGGGGGACATACCTGATTTTTAATTCAATTTCAAAGAAGGGGGTGCAGGGCATTACAGGAGGTGCAGACACCTTGGGAATCTCCAACAAGAAGTCCAGGGGGGAAAGGAAAGCCAAGGCTAGGCAACCAGGATGCTCACCAGGGCAGGAGGAGGAGAGGGAAGCATCCTTGGCAGGGCTGAACAGAACCCAGGCATCACCTCCATGCTCATGGGGGCAGAAACCTAGCACTGCCCTGGGGACAGCAGTGGGGACATCCTCAGCCTCTCCCAGTCCCAGTCCCAGGTTATTCTCAGCAGGACCAGGGAGGGTGGTGTTGGGTAAGTGGTAACACTTCGCACTGAGGGTGTGAGTATGGAAGAGGGGTGCTTGTAGCTGCTGCTGTGCTCCAGGCTACTCTGATCCCTGTGTGACTGGACCTTCCTGCCTTGGATTCCCCACCTGCACCTGGGATATCACCACCCACCCCTCCTGGGCTCTTGGGAAAGTAGCTCTTTGTAGCCCTCGTTTTCTCAGGAGCTGGGAAAATGCTGTTGAAGCAGTGAGAGTTATTATTACTAATATAAGTTCCTCTATAAAGTACAATAGAATATAACAATTATATTTATAACCATTTTTTTTTCAAAATACTAAAGAGATGCTATAAAAACCTGTAACTAATTGTGCTATAAACTGCAGACTACAGGGTTATAACAAACAATGTATTGGCTTAGTCGTTGATATGTGTATGTCGGAGCACTTTCTAAATGCTTTATTATTAGCATTTACCAAGGAATTTCCTTCTCAAACAATTTGGAGGGATAAAGCTAGCCAGGGATCAATAACGTGGGCTTACACATGTTACTAAATCCTGACAGGATGAGGTTGGATGGGGAAACTGAGTTTGTTGTGAAAACAAGGGATGGTGATGAGTGTCACTGCCCTTCCCTGGCTGAGATGGACCTGTGTCCCCCCCATCACCTTGTCTCTTATTTTTCCTCTTTTTTCTTGGAGCAAGGGGGTTGGTTCCCTAAGCAGAGAGGGAGAAGCAGGGTGACACCTCTCCTCTCCCAGCCCTGGCACAGGGATGGGGCTGTGAGATGCACTATGGTGGAGCTCAGCTGGACCTGCCTTTAGTAGGAAGTGTTTCCAAGAGCACAGCAGTGCTGCTGGGCGATGGACACCTGGATGTGGGGGGAGAGACTGGGCTGGTGTCCTTCTGCTTTACTGCCCTGAGCAGCACTGAATTCCTGCACCTCCTTGTTACATCAGAAATCATGGCAATGGTTCTGCTGGAGGATGGACCAGGCACAGATCCTGCCTCAGGAGATGAGGATGACTCATGTGCCATGACATGTGAGGATGACTTCCCTGTGCCTCACAGGGAACAGCCAAGGAGAAACCATGACCCCCTTGGCTTCTTGTTCACCCCTCACCACTTCCTAACAGGGGCTGCCCTTTGCCACCTGCCCTGCAGGACAAGGTGCAGATGAGCTGCAGGTCTGGTGGAAAAATAAGCTGAATGATTAAAAAAATAATAAGAGTTAAAAAAAATGAGGCCTCACTTTCCT